ATGAATGACATCGAGGTTGCCAAGCAGGTTTGCATGGTTATTCACATCTTGTTTGTGATCCTCGGCATCCCAGTCACAAAAGTGAGAGCATACTCTGAGATTAAACATGTCATTGATAGGATTCAATGAATCTCAAAAGATCTAGGAGTTTCATAAGATTGAAATTGGTAAAAGCTTTACCTATAAAAATGGATATGAACTTGACTATGACACCCCTCTTCAAAGTTCGAATCAAAAATATGAATCCTAACCTAAATTTAAAATTTATGGGTTAGTAATTAAGGATTAAAATCAACTAACTTGAATTCTCTTTTCTCCCATTACAGATGTCAAGACAAGACAATAATGGTCTTCCTTATTCCTTTGGAAATGGTTTTTCTCTTCATTTTGAAGATGATCTTCCACTTTCTAATCAAGGTGAAAATGTTTTCTCTTCTTCGGAAAATGGTGGAACTGGACATCATGCTTCTTTAGCTCTTCCAGCTCCTCCTCCAGAAACTATCCCAACGTCACGTTTTCCTCAAGTTGAAATATACGAAAATACTCAAGCCCTATTGGCATGTAGGCATCAAGATGGAAATTATGTGTATGTGTATGTTCTGGAAATGAAATCGTACATTGACAAGTTGGATAGAATGGGTGTCGTTTTCCCAAGGGAGAGCAAGCCATTGATTTGGTTCTTCTTTCGTTTCCAAAGTCATACGTATAGTTCATTGAGAACTTTCATATGATGAACATCGTCGTGACCCTAATTGATCTAAACCAAATGTTGATTGTTACTGAAGTAGAAATGCTTAAGAGCACATCTGAAGCAAAGGTGCTTAAAGGGGTTGATTCCAAAGTTTCCATGGACATTGACAATGGTGACAATGGTGGTCTAGAAAATATTTCTTTTCCCAATGGAAAGGGGTCTGCCAAGGTCAAATAGTTTGATCGTATGGTAAAGAGAAATGCTAGTTATGAGATAGTTCCATGTGTTAACCCTAAAGAGTCCATTTGTTTCTTTTTCCAATTAAAGGGGCATTGGTTGTGAAGCTGCCCAAAATAACTGAAAGATCTCAGAGATAGCGAAGTCAAGTTGTGTGACTCTGCTTCAGGTACATCTATTATCTAACTCCATTGTTTTAACAAGTTCCTATACATAGACTCTTAATACATGATGTGATGATCCCATTTTGATGTTATTGTAGGATCTCAGAGAAAGAAGAAAGCTTAAGCAGAGTGAGCTCAATCTGATCGTGAGAGATGGACTTCGGTCACATGGTTCGATGATTAGAATTTGGAGCTACTACTTAAGAGTTAGGATAATTTAATAGATTTGTATTGCTCTTAGGAGATGCCTATAAACATGGTTTTTCATTTTATGAATTGTAAGTACAAGTTCCAATTTTTCGTTTATTTTCAGTAAAAGTGAAATTTTGGTTTATCTAGTTGCCTTATTCTTATTTCCTTGCAATGGCATTTACGAAAGTGTTGGTTATGTTTCTAATATTAGCAAAGTTAATTGTGGATTTAATTCTTACAATATTGTGTGTGGTATTGTCATAATTAACCAAGTGAAAATAATTCTCATCACCAAGTTTCAATTGAACAGAAACTTGGAGTCATGCAATTCGAATTACATGATGTATGAGAATCTTGGTCATTGGAAGATTATGACTAAGTCATTGATCACATGTTTATGTGAGTCAAGTAAAGGACTAATGGATCTAGTACATATTGATATGGACTATTCAGATCCACCACAAAGGACGATAACTTTATTCGTCATGATTTACTGATGTTTCAGTAAATATGGTTGTGTTTATAAGATTAAGCATAATTCTAATACTTTGAAAAACTTCAAAGAGTAGCAGAACGAATAACAAGAATCAGTTAGGCAGAAAGATAAAAGATTCTCTAATCTGAGAAGAAAGGAGAATGCTTTAGTATCATGTTTTATGATCATCTTAGTGATTGTGAAACTATGTCAAAATTGATCCTCGAAGAACATCTTAGTACAATTGTATGACTAAGAAGAGGAATCGGATATTGTTTAAATGGTTCAATCAAGAGATGAGTCATACTTTGTTTCCAATCAAGTTTGAGAGCCATGCTCTAGTTACTACAAATCGTATCTAGAAACTCATTTCAAACTAAGAAGGTTTATAAAACCTCGTGAAATATGGAGTAATAATGTTTTCTTACTCTAGCACACTTAGAATTGGAATTGTGATTTTTTTCGTCAAAACAAACTGAGACCAATTCTATGAAGTGTTATTCTTGTCGGGAATCCACACGAACTTTTGACTATTTGTTTTAGTCCGTCAAGGAATGTTCCTTGAGAGAAAACTCATATGTCAAGAAGTCAGTGGGAGTCTTATTGATCTTGAGAGTTTCAGGAGTCATATGACAATAAACATTTTAGTTATACTAGCACGCGAGCTGAGGTTGATAAATAGTCTTGTGTGATTGAGACATTCTTATTTTTGTGTACCCTCCAGTTGAGTTGGCAATGCTTATGATTTTTATGGTTTTCATTTAACTACAAAAGCAAAGCACGTTGGTAAGTGAAAGTACATTTATCAATATGGGTGAGCTGCTTAACAACACAGAAGCACTGGTAGGCCCTTGTGCTACTAGAAGGAAGGAAATTTAGAATAAGCAATGTTCAGTCCATGAAAGGAAAGCTAAATTTGAATTTGGTTTTGTCCTAAACCTTGTCTTATGATTGCAGGTTGGAAATGATAGATTCACATGGATGGGAACGTATGCACCATAAAACATAGGTGGCAAAGTTTTCGCTCTAATTCATGAGAATGATTATGAGGAAACACTTTCGCTATAGATTTTAAAGGATCTGATAAAGATCAGTATGGATATTGCTTGTATTAATTGCATTCTCAAATTCACAATATGATTACAGCATCCCTCTTCACATTTCGAATTGTGAAAAATGGTAAGGAATTGTTTGAACTTTCAAAGACTTATAATTATAAGTTATGAAAGGGTTTAAACACACACATATGCTATCCAATGAAAGTGTATATGCTTAAGAAGTCTAGTTGGGGACTTATCGAAGCATCACGTAACAGAAATATGTACTTCAGTAAGAAAGTCAAGAGTATTGATTTCTAGAAGTCTATTTGATTTTTGGGTACATGTCAGAGCTAGTGGGAGCATAACTGTTATGCTAGTATTGTATGTTGACAATACTGTTTTTAAGGAACAAAGTTTTCAATTTGCACATTGCAAATTTTGGAAATGTTTCACTATAGTAGACTTAGGGGAGATGACACTCATACTTCTTTTCGAATCTAAAGGTTTATATTTCAAATTTTAATAGAACTTTGTCATATATATATATATATATATATATATATATATATATATATATATATATATATATATATATATCATGTTGAAATGGTTCAACATAGGAAATTTAATATATGGAAATATTATAGCAAGTGATTGAACATATATCATATCCTTATAAGATATAATGAGTCAAGTCTCACATGCTTTGAATATACGATCGATTATATATGCTATAATATTCACTTTTTTCTAATTTTTCAAATGCTCGTAGCATTGTGAGAGAAAAGAACTAGAGGTTCGCCCTTATCAGATGAACATATATACACACACAAAATCAGATGAACACACATACAAAATCTGATGAACACACACACACATGAAATCAAATGAACACCCACACATGAAATCAGATGAACACACCCATACACACACAGAATCTGATGAACACACCCATACACACACATAATCTGATGAACACACACTTTCATCTTTCTAACCCGAAATTCATCAAGAAATCAGATTCATCGTATGGTACACTTTAATCACCAGTTAATGGCTACTTGGAGGTCTGAAACAGCCTCCACCTTTATCATGGTCGACCCAGCAACCAAAATACTTGAAAATATCCAAAATCATAAGGGGATTAAGAAAGGGGAAGAACGAGTTACAGATTTGTAAAGACGAAGCTCGGGTTTAAAGCGACTCAACCATCGTCTTCTTCGAGTTGTTGATCGGAGCGGCGGGGGTTTCCAGTTGCTAGGGTTTTTAGCGGCATATTGAAGTCGATTTGCAGGTGAGTGGAAAGGGGCGGAGTCGTCCTTCTTGATTGAGCTTGCAAACCCTCGTTTCAGAGATGGAACAACAACATCGTCATAGAAGGAGAGATACGGGCGACTAAAACCCTAAATGGCGGTGGATCTAAAAAAACCATTTGACCTGTCATACGATGACTGTCTTACTCCCATCTATCTTAGAAGGTCGTCTGGTGACCTCGTTGGATCTTGGTCCGACCTCTTCTCCTCTAGCTCCAATAAATGCTCCGACGGGCGAGAGATTGAAAATGGCTTTCAAGTTTAAGGCATTGTGGTGGATTTGTGCAGGAGGGTTGTTATGGATTTGTGTTCACACAGTAAACACACACTCAAATACAAGAGGGAGAAGGGGGTGGGAGAGAGAGAGGGGGGGAGGGAGGGAGAGAGAGATGTGGATTTGTGGATTTGTGTTCGCACAGTAAACACACACTCAAATACGAGAGAGAGAGGGAGAGAGAGAGAGAGAGAGAAAGAGAGAGAGAGAAGTAATTTTCTTTTTTATTTTTCTTTTAATTAGAAAAGCATTTAAATAAATAAACTGAAAAAGAAAAAGTAAGGGCAAAATTGTCATTAATTATAAAAATGTTTAAAACAAATTGGATCAATCTTGTAACAAAATAAAAAGTTTGGACATTTGCTGCTAGTCCAAACTTTTTTGGACCAAACACGCCAGTTTTGACATACCACAAAGACCATTCTTACAGTTTTGTCTATATATTTTAGATAATCACATTTATAAGTTTTAAATAATTGTTATTTCTTATAAAACAATATATTATCTAAATTAAAAAGTGTAAAAGAAATGACGCCTACACAAACAAAACCTTATCAAGATTAGAACACCACACCCCCATCTCTTCCCTCAAAAACTTACAATCGTCATTCGCCATGGCAGCAGCAGCGCCTACCTTTCATATCACTACTCCTCCGCCCTTCACACTCGCTGCTCCGAAACACCAATTCGCCACCAATCTCCGCTCGCTTCACCCCCTAAACCTCCGTGGCCGCCTCCGTTACACCACCACCTGCTCTTACAAAGTTGCAATCGAGCACGAAGGTGAAACGACTGAACTAGAGGTGGATCCAGATGAGACGATACTGGAAAAGGCATTGGATTCTGGAATGTCCGTACCCCATGATTGCAAGCTGGGAGTTTGTATGACTTGTCCGGCGAAACTGCTTAGTGGAAGCGTGGATCAGAGTGAGGGGATGTTGAGCGACGATGTGATTGAGCGTGGCTACTCGTTGCTTTGTGTATCGTATCCCAAATCGGATTGTCATATCAAAATCATCCCTGAAGAAGAGCTCTTGTCTTTGCAGTTAGCTACTGCCGATGATTAGCTTCACTTGATTTGATATAGTCGTTTGTTTCCCAAATCTATTGGATACATTTCAACTTTTGTTTGAGCTTTTTTTAGTAAAATTAAAGTTAAAATTGGGTATAGAATTGTTTGAGTTGTTTTAGATTGGTTACTGAATGAATGTTCTTTCTTCTTTTCAACTCCAATTTTCATCCTATGTATACCATTTTGATTGGTATCAGCTAGGGGAAATCTATAAATATGTAACTTAATTGACCTGTGTCTTTTCATCTATATCTCTACTCTTCAGTTGGATTGGACGTGACTAAACGAAGCTTCTGTGAGAAGAAGAAGCAAAATGTCGTCCTTATAAAATTCGTTGGTAACTTATTTTCTTTATAAGCATCGTTTGAATTGAACACTTTGTGATTTTTATGATGCATTATTCAAGAGCCCCATGAGGGAATTGTTATTTTTATGATTGATTATTCAAGAGCATATGAGGAAATTGTTATTTTTATGATCGATCATTCAAGAGTCTATGAGGAAATTATTATTATTATTGTGATTCATTATTCAAGAGCCCAAGAGGAAATTGTTATTGTTACCTACGAGGAAATTGTTATTTTTCTGATCTATTATTCAAGAGCACATGAGGAAGCTGTTATTTTTATGATCCATTATTTAAGAGCTCATGAGAAATTGCAGATATCTTTATACAAGATCCCATGAAAAAAAATGCAGATATCTTTGGGGGATTCATCGTAAACTATCAGATAACTAGTATAATGATATTTTCTTTCATCTTCATATGAAGTTGAAGTCGCGTGGGAATGCAACTATGTGCCCATAAGGTTGAATATATATATATATATATATATATATATATATATATATATATATATATATATATATATATATATATATAATTGACAATGGGTCCCTATACTATACATTATGTGTAAACAATAATATAAACTAACACATCCCCTGAGATTGAGCATGGGGTTTACATATGTGCAAATTGTTCCAAAATTCCAGAAATGTGTAGGAAAAGCCTTAGTAAATATATATGCAAACTGATGAGCCAATGACACGTGCAAAACATATGCATGTCCAATAGCAACACGTTCCCAAACAAAACGTAAATCTATTTCCACATGTTTGGTACGTTGGTGTTGTATAGGGTTAGAAGATAAATGCATGACACTCACATTGTCGCGAAGCACAACCGTAGCTTTAGATAACAGACATGATAACTCGAGAAGAAGATTGTGAAGCCAAGCAGCTTCAACGACATTTGCCACCCCTCGATACTCAGCCTCAGCTAAGGACCGAGAAACAACATGTTGACGTTTGGAGGACCACGGCGCGAGATTATTGCGAAGGTAAACGCAGAACCCTAAAATGGACCTACAAGTATGAGGACACTCGGTCCAATCAGCATCAGAATACATGACCAAGTGATCAATGGAATATGGTGTGATGAGCAGACCGTGAGACAAAGTGTCCGCAAGAAGATAAGGTTCACGTGGATCATGCATGAAAAGACATATTTTCTGAACAGCATGTGCAATATCTGGACGAGTGAAGGTGGGATATTGCAAGGCACCAACCAAACTCCTATTAAGAGAAGGGTCAGAGACAGGAGATCCATGATGGGAGAGTTTAGATTTAGTGTCAGATGGAGTACTGCAGGGATTACAGGAGGACATGTATGCATGAGACACGATTTCCTTAGCAAAGGAAGTCTGAGATAGAAACAGACCATCAGTAGCTCGAGAAGCAGCAATGCCAAGAAAGAAGGAGAGAGGGTCGAGGTCTGACATGGGAAATTCAGATGAGAGCCGAGAGATTATGTGAGATATGAGAGCAGAAGATGAGGTGGTGAGGATAATGTCATCAACATAGAGAAGAAGAAATATATGATCAACCCCAGAGTGATAGGTAAAGAGGGAGCAGTCAGACCGACTGTTGGTGAAACCAATATAAGTGATGAAGACAGGAAATCGTTGATACCTAGCTCGGGGAGCCTGCTTAAGACCATAGAGAGATTTACGAAGACAACACACATGATTTGGAGTGTAGGATGAACATAGCCAGGAGGTTGTTTCATAGATCACCATGAAGGAAAGCATTTTTGACATGCAACTGATGAATAGGACAATTTTTGAATATCCCAATGCTTAGCACGGTACGGATGGTGGCAGTTTGACAACAGGATTGAAAGTATCATCAAAGTCAAGACCTGGAAGTTGGGAGAAACCCTGAGTAACAAGAAGACCTTTATAGCGATCAAGGTTGCCTTTGTTGTCAAACTTGTGGCGATAGAGCCAACGATAACCAACAATGTTGGCATGAGGAGGAGGAGGAACAAGATTGTAACATCCATAAAATTTCATAAAATTTAAACTTTTCAAAACAACTATTTTTCTATAGATGTTTTTACAAAAACCGTTGTTCCCAAAACATTATTAAAAATCAGAACCTTTTTTAACATAGTTTTCAAAACATTCACATTATCAGAGTTTCCCATAAATCATAAGTCCAAAACGCAATGATGTGTATGGTCACACCTTCACCTTGCCAATATCCACTGAAGTACCTGAAACCATAAACCAAACTATAAGCACGAAGCTTAGTGAGTTCCCCCAAAGTACTAACACCCAAACAGATAACATATACAAATAACAGCATGCATATAGAGCCTTCAGCCTATCTGAACCGCTCATAGAACCTTCAACATGACTAAACCGCCTCATCGGGCCTTCAGCCTATCTGGACCGTTCTCTGAGCCTTCAGCCTAACTGGTACGCCCCACTTGTAACACCCAAAAAATTTCAACCAATTTAAACTTTTAAAAACATTTCAACCATTAAAAATCATTACAACTTTGTTTTCAAAATGTATAATATCAGAGTTTTCCCAGAAACATAGACAAAACATGAGGAGCTGTACGATCACGCCTTCGCCTTGCCGCGATCCCCTGATGTACCTGAAACAATAAACTGAAACTGTAAGCTCGAGAGCTTAGTGAGTTCCCCCAAAATACCCATACCCGCAACAATACACATATAATCATAACAGCATACTATGGGTCCAATCAACCATCGGGTTGGAATACCCCAGGCCCACAATCAACAGGTTGGATTGCCAACACACTATGGGTCCAATCAACCATCAGGTTGGAATACCCCAGGCCCACAACCAACAGGTTGGAATGCCCACATACTCTGAGTCCAATCATCCTCGGGATGGAATACTCACGGCCCACAACCTACAGGTTGGAATGCCCAGGTCTATTTCCTTCGCACCAAGTAGATAAGCCTCAACCGCCAAACAAACATGTGCACATATAATAGATAATCACATAACAGTCTATAGACAATACTTGATCTAACGGATCTTACCACATAGCACATAACACCATCATATCTACCAGGATGCCAATCTAACAGATCATACCACATATCATATAATAATTATCCTACCCTCTAGGATACCGATCTAACAGATTATACTAGCATAACATAACCATATAATAATCCAAAGGATCGGCCGTGGTGCCTTAGACCCTTGAGTATAGTGAGGAAAACTCACCTCGCAACTGTCGTCTGAAACTAGAAGCTCAACTCCCGGATCACCAACACGAACTCCACCACCTATCGTTACCATAAAACCCTTTTTCGTAAATCTCCAAATTACCAGAATACTTTCAGAAGTCAACTGGTCAACTCTTGGTCAAAGTCAAAGTCCCCAGTCATAGTCAACAGTCCATGTTGACTCGACTCGTCGAGTGCAGACCATCGACTCGTCGAGTCCTTCCTGAACTCGAGAAGTCGTGAAATCCTTGATTAGCTCGTCGCGTTTCTCTTTAGCTCGCCGAGTTCATACGTGTCTAAGAATTGGGAGAAACCCTAGCCGACTCGCCGAGTCATCGAACGACTCGCCGAGTTCAAGGCAATCTTCAACGGACTCGCCGAGTTTGTTCATTAACTCGACGAGTTCACGACCATCTTCATATGACTCGCCGAGTTAACTATGCAACTCACCGAGTCCTTGCAGACCTTCATCCATGCAGACACTTTTTAAGCCATGCCAAAGGTTCCAGATTACAGATCCAAGCTTCTAAGGCATGTTTATCACGTAAAGTTGCAAACTTTACACATATGCAAGGCCCTAAAGGCTCTAAATGACCAATCTAAGATTCTAATGGAGCTTTACACCTTGGGAGAGTCTCATCCTTGCAAGAGCTGGAAACTTTATGGACTTAGGACTCAAAAGAGGTTCAGATCTGAAGTTTCAATTTCAAATCTAGCTCCCATACCAAAATCCCTTCATGAATAACTAAAGAAAGCCCTAGTTTTCACATATGAATGATTCTTAGAAGAAAAAGAGGTTAAGGTAACAGCTGGTTACCTCCAAAACGTGCCCAAACTAAAGTAGACTCTGGATCCACACAGAAATCTTGATATTAGCCTCTTGATCTACAAATTTCCTTCACAAAAGTCACTTCCCAAAGCTCCAAAACACTCTCCAAGCTCTCACTCACGGAAATTAGGGTTTCTGGGTCTCAAGAGGGTGATAGAGGACAATGGGAGGCGCTAATGGTCCAATATGTAGGGTGCGAAACCCTGAAAATTAAGGTTTCCACTGCCAGCTCCTACTCGTCGAGTCCCCCATGCCGACTCGACGAGTCACTCATTAATTGACGTGTCCTGGCCCGCTGCTACTCGACGAGTCATAGCGCCAACTCGTCGAGTAGACCTTAAACATGAAGTCTAAAAGGAAAAATTAATAATACCTGACGGTTGGGATGTTACAATTCTCCCCCACTTGACTTAGACTTCGTCCTCGAAGTCAGCTGTAGCGAATAACTCCGGGTAATGCTCCCGCATCTCAGCCTCCGACTCCCATGTCCACTCGGATCCCTTCCGATGCTCTCATTGTATCTTTACCAACGGAACCTCCTTGTTGCGTAGGACTTTCACTTTCCTTTCCAAAACAGCAATCGGCCTCTCAATATAATTCAGGCGCTCA